CTTGGGGCCGACCACAATTCTCAAAGCTCATCCTTGATACAAGAATAGAACAACAAATTAAGTAGTTTTAGCAAACTAAACCAAAATTAAATCTATTTTAATTGTATGGATAACAATAGTATTAATTGGGCAAAAGTCTTAAAACTACCGCAATAAAATAAAAATAAATAACATTTAGTCATGAGATTTTTTTTATCAAATTTTCTTAACATATGAATAAAATGCAAGTAAACTAAGGAAACAACACAAAAAAAGGTAATTTCGGATGTTACGTCGGGATTCAAGAACTCATCAAAGACTTGGGCACCACTTATTACCTCACGTCAGCATTTTCGATCCAACCCATTTGTATTCGAGCCTTACTGCAACCCCTAATATGTCGCAAACTATCTATAGCTATCGGATCTATAATGAAGTTTAATGTGCGGTTTGTACAAAACATATTTAAAATATTATATTCAGTAATCGATAGGTATGGGTATTCAATGTAGTCTGTTTTAAGAAACTGTTTAAAAATTAATAACTGTCTCTTTAGACTGAATTAAAACATGATCATTCCATGATACTTTTTAGTTGTTATATTAAACTATATTCCTCTTTTTTAATATAAATATATTACGAGTATAATCAGAACATAACCTAATAAAATTCAAGCATACTTAACGAGAGTAACATCAAAATACGAATATAAAAATACACACAAACGAACGTTTTCATGTTGTAATAAAAAAGTCAGGAAAAGTTTGAATGGATAACAAAAAAGTTTGGTTTTCCGTTATGAACATTGAATGAAAGCGTGTGCGTTGCTAAAAATAAATACGAGTATATGCGAAACTATATATGTATATTCGTACAAAACGTACTTGTTCTTTTAACAGTTTAATTATTAGTAGGTATTAATTGCAAGAACTTTCATAGTGTATGTTTAGAAGCAGCCATTTCTAAACACATCTTAAGTGCTATATTTTCTTAGACAGGTGATCCATATCAAGAACGTTTTAAAATTATTTACGAAGGCTTGCCCTTGTTCAACACAAAATTTTGTTAATAGCAAAGAGAATGAAGAAGGGAGATATATTTTATTTATTCCGTGTGGTGACGGATTAAGAATACAGAGTGTCACCACCCCTATTCATCCCCCGGGTGTCGAAAGAGCCGACTGCCAAGAGAAGGAAAACTTGAAACAAATCATATAGCAACCCGTCTGACCAGCGTGGTATAGTAAGCCAAAACCTCCATTGTAAGGAGAGGCCGATGTTCAGCAGTGGACTATTAGGGGCTGTTGATGATGATACTATTTGGGTGCCGGAAGAAAATAAATTTATTTATTTATTTTAATAATACTTCCTGGAAATACATTGCATAAGGCGGACTTAATGCCATAGGCATTTTCTTCCAGTCAACCTTTTGGTGATGCAGAGCTGTGTGTGGCAGGTGTATAATTGAAGCTAGTGAATGGATTACCAGTTGATGTATGTCACAAAAAATATAATATGTTGATATATTAAGCTTATATCTAATAGCTTCCATTTGTTTTAGAGACATGAATAAAGAAGAGTATTCTTTTTATTTGTTTAAAAGGTAGTCTGACATTATTAGTTCGTCTCTTATCAAAATGGAACTAAATGTAAACAATTAATGTAACGCTGTCAACCATCACAATAAATAATTTTAATAAATAATAATTTTTGTAAATTCAATTGTAAGAATCAATTTTTAGTCATTTTTAATGGAAAATACTTTTTTTCTGTTCTTTTAGTAAAACTAGAAGTATAATTATAAAGGAAAATATACATTTACATGTATTGAAAAGAACATTGATAATATAAATACTAACTTTTAAAGTTCACCGTTTCATGGTATATAATTCTATATGTATACCTATTTATGTTTTTAAATTGATTGATCTTTCGACCAGGGCCTCAATTCTGCTATTTTATGTTCACGCCAAGCCACTGTCATACCACTGACACGCTATTGAGATGCCATCGAGTGGTCATTGGCATCGGTATAAATATCTCGGTATATATCGGTATATATATTTCTTTTAATAATTTATTATAATAAAAATAAATAAATCAGTTCCTCAAAAACGTAATATATTTTCAACTACCGATATTTATACCGATGCCAATGGCCACTCGATGGCAACTCAATAGCGTGTTAGTGGTATGACAGTGGCTTGGCGTTAACATAAAATAGCAGAATTGAGGCCCAGTTTGTACTGGCCACGGTCTCAGGCATCACTGAACCGATCAGTTATGCACACTCACCGTGGTCGGTTGTTAAGGCTGTTTGAACGTGATTTTGACCCACTTCAAAACGTCGAATTAACTTGAAACTTCGCAAAATTATCAAGGACTATCAAATTAAGCCGAATATCCTGATCAGGATCTTCAGGATTAACGGCTTTTTCCATACCTAAAAATACAGTAGTGTCTATTGATACGTACTAAGAAGCGTGTGCTGAAACATATGTGACTTACTTAACTGTTACTTTTTTAGTCTTAATCAGAAAAAAATCATTTTTAAAGACTAAAAAAGCAAAAATGAATTAAAGTTTAAAAAACTAAAAAACACACTTTTGTAATGAGCCAAACTAAAAATAATTTTCAAGATCTTTTTCTTTCAAGCAGGCTAGCTTAAAAGAAAAAGATCTAAAGACGAACTAAAGATATTCTAATACTTAAAAAATAAAAATCTATTTATCATAAAAAAATCGTGGGGTGCTTTCAAGGATATTTTATAATAAAATAACTTTACTTTTACCAATATATCTGTCAACAAAATATTTTTAAAATAATTTATATCTATACCACGATAAGGCACTATCTATAGCGCCCCACGCATTTTTTGGATAAAATGATTTATCTTTTTGAACTTTTAGACAATTATTTTCTACTTTTTAGTTCGGCTGATTACAAAAGCGTTCGGCTGGTTACAAAAGCTATTGTTAGTTTTTCTAAACTATTTTTTTTTAATTTACATATGTAAATGACTACCGCCGCCCATGGACATCTGCAACTCATGAAACAGCCGCCCTTACAGTCCCCTCCTCCAGAAGCGACGGGAGGGAAAATATTTGGGCTCCGGTAACCTCACTCTCTTGGTGCTTGGTCAATGAAAAAAGTGCGAAATACCAGCATTTTGTGAGGCCATGGTATTACTCCGGTCGAGCCTGACCCGTATATGACGAAGCATGGCCGTCCCACGATAAGGCTCGCACAGTTCAAAGGAATTGGAATGTTTCCTGAAATAGAATTGCCAATTTGCGCCAATACCACAAGATTAAACGCAATGATAAAAAAAGTACGGTTATCCCAAGAATAATCCAACCTTTTTAGAAACAATTTTAAGACCGAGCTGTCAGTTCGAGTGACTCAGCCGGGGTATTTGGTGTCGCGCTGTGTAGTTATTCTTTTATGTGTTTTTTTCTTTAAGATTTTTAAAAGACAACTCCTGCACTAGGAATATATCTTGTGTCTGATTTTATAAACATACATGAAACGGATATAAAGAACACCCAGACTTAGAACAACGATTTGTGTATCACACACAGTATTGTCCCATGTGGGGATCGAACCCTCAATACTAAGCGAAGTAAGACGCGGCGAGTTGACCGCTTAAACCACTATCCCACCAGAAATCACCCATATTAAAACAGTCCCATTACATAATGAAATAGCGTCTGCCTGCAGATGCCCTAACTACCTCTGAGTAAACTTTTTATTTACTCGACATCCAGGATCACGCAGTCGTCACTTCTTGCAGAGGTCCCTAAGTTCTAAAACCAACCGAGGCCTAATAAGAAAAAATGATTTCTTTTAATAGAACAATTTCATAGTTATTGTTACCATATGAAGAGAAAGGTCAAACATAACGTTAAGAATTCTAGACACATTCAGAATGTACCAAACACTCTTACGGCCAATAAATTACAATAATATTTTGTTAAACTAATAAAATGTTAACATAGTTTATGGTAAAGGCCATTTACAAGAAAATCATTTAGTATTTAGAGGAGAACATAAATAATTAAAAGAATTTAGTTTTAAACCGATTTTAAAAAGATTTTTGTTCAATTCCTACGGGACATCTTTGTCATAATTATGTCAATCAATTTTTATAATTCAGTTTTTATTTCAATTGGTCGCAATCAACGTTGAGACCAAGAACCGAAAGACCGTCTAAATAAAAAAAAAGCCGTGTGGTGTCGTGGGACACCCGATGAGAACGAAGTTGTGACGATCGAGTAAAACTGATTTGACACGATTTTAATTACAACGCCATCTATGAAAGTGGCTATTACCTACATATTAAAAACAATTAAAACAACTTATACATTGGTAAAATCTCCTTGCGAAATGATTTCCGATCTATTCGATAGATGGCGCTGAATGTCTGACAAGATGACACGAAAATAAAGAGCAAAAAGCCAACATCACGTGGTATTCCCAGGCGGTCACCCATCCAAGTACTAACCACGCCCGATGTTGCTTAACTTCGGTGATCGGACGAGAACCGGTGTATTCAACATGGTATGGACGTTGGCGAACGTTAAAGCAAATTTAATGTATGGTATCCACAGTTAGACGTCAATTTATATTAATAAAAAAGTGTCGTTCCAAATTTTCGTACGAATTTTTGCCGTCTAGCCCCCTTTCACAACGCGCGATAAGGAACTTCGTTCCAATAAAAAAATAAGTTCAGTGATGGGAAACCTCCTTTCTAAGGAGAGGCCTATGTCCAGCGGTGGGCTAGTATAGGCTGTCGATGATGATGGGAAATTTTTATTGCAATTTCTTATGAAGTGGTGCATTGTAAGATTTTTTAAATGTCTGTCATGTCTGAGGATCATGGTCAGCATCAGGGTTACGGTCAAATGTTCAATAAAGCCTTTTCTAGAAAAGATTATATAACGATATTTAACAATTTTAAGTGGAGGGAAACTGTTTCGTGGAAGATCGTATATTGTGCGTAACTGCACATAAAAGGTGGCCATGGTCGCGGTGACCATGGCCATTTTAAGTATCCTACATATTTAATTAATATTTAGCTCAGTTCACATTTATCTAGAAATGTCGAAAATGAGAGCTACAACAGAAATAACCATTCTGTCGAAAACAACAGAACTATTACTGCTAACATTCGATTAAGAAATCGCTTATTCTTCGATTGCTTTACAGCCTTTTCATTAATAACCAACGACTGTGGGGCACGTCAAGGGATTTATGGGTTTCGGATTCAGAGAGGGGTCAGAGATAAATAGGGTCAGCCTACTCCGTTTAAAGTTTACATTGTCCCTACTTTGTACTAATGATTCCTTATTTGTGAACACCAAACTCTAATTAAGAATGGAGGACAAAATATCGTTTTCATTACGTGTGTAGCGTGTTTAAGTTGTAAAACAAGTTACATGGTTGCAAAATATACCCAGTTTTATAAAAACGTATGTAATTGCACTAGGATTATCTAAGTTTTTACACAAAATGTTTGTGTGAAACTACTAAAGTTAATAAAATTTGTAATGTAAAAAGTTGTAAATTTATTGTTATTGATTCTATTATAGCCGTTACACCTTTTTACTTACCAGAACCAATGTGTGATTGATAAGCACCGATGCTGTATACTGCTGCATCTGTACAGGAGCTTGCAAATCAATCGCGTGATAAGACCTTAAAATTTTCTAGGCCTTTATTTCATCATATTAATATCTGTCGACTCTCTTAGATACTGAGTATTCCTTTCTCATCGTTTGCTCACAAAGATCTTTAGGTTCTAATAGGCTGTGCATTTTGAGACCTAGGGTTATTAATTTTAACTATCGAATTATACGGCTCCGTTCAAAATAATAATCAAAGTTACTTTTATTTTCTTGTGTTAGTGATATTTAAAGTGCATCATTACTAATAATAATAAATACGCCGACTGATCCTAAACTTGGGGAGACAGACTCCTGTTTAACGCTCGTGTAATACGATTGATGGAGTTTAATTATTCGTATTATTTAATTCATAGCATTTAGGCAATGATTGAAGTTCATCATAGGATGAACGAGAATACCTCAGAGGCTCGTACGGTTGAGCAATTTGGGTATAAACGCTTGAACGATTAGTTAATTTCCTTAAATTAACTACATCATATCACCTACTTAAATGTCACTGAAGCGTCATTTTCTAATAATGTTATGGTTCCTAGTTCTAAGTTCTTTTTCCTTAAATAATAGAATAAATGCCGGACTGTCTTCGAAAACAAGCATTGTCCTTTTGTAATATTGCCGTCTCAGTCCTAGAAACAGTTCCTGATACAAAAACCTTTTGGTTTATTGGGATGAATGTTATGTTATAGTACCAGTAAAGTATGAAAAAATCATTTTTCATCCTGACATTAGTTAGCATACTATATTTTCCTTTCTTTATATTTGAAAAAAATATGTGATGATGATTCTTACTTCAACTAAAACCGTTGATTTATAATAATTAAGCTAAGTATTCGCTAGGGATCATGTGTCTTATTAAGTTCCCTCGTATTTAAACAGTATCAGGAAAACAGAACTTATGATGTATTAAATTGAATCCCTTGTAGTAAATGGAACTGCGTTAACTTTTCCAATCTATAATAGATTGGATCATAAAGACCCAATACAGTTTGATATGATGATTTCACTTTCTGTAAAATGTTATATTTATCTTTTAAACTTTCAGCGCAGTCTAATTTTAGACGTGATTAACGATTGATAAAATTAATAAAACAAACGCACACATTAACAAAATTATTAATATAATGGAATCTTTTAATTGAGTACAAACATGTCTTACGGAGGGAAACTTTGCCATGCACGCATTTTAATTTACTCAACATCTTAATACCGCTTTTGGCCCTGTAATAAAAATTATGCCGGTTTAAGCAAATGCTTCTCATTAGTTACGCATAATTAAGCAGCTGTAATGAAGTCCGACCTTAACCTTGAAACAAATATATTTAAAACATGTATAATAGGAAAGAACTTCGAGATGAATGTTTTTCAGAGTAGTCGGTTGTAATGTGCATAGTATATCGTTTGTATTTCCATAATACCCTATTTTATTAATCTTGGGTCAAGGATATGATAGTATTTTCTCGAGGGTAACCATTCCATATTTTAGAGGATAACGGACATTGTTATTTAAGGAGGGTAAACGGTTATGAGCTCAAAAATGTAACGCGAATTTTGGGTCTTAAATTTTACGAGGTGCTCTGGCGTCTTGTAGCTGGTAATTTACCGCAAATAGCTTAAAATACTGTGGGATTAAAGAAGAACGTGTATTACCCTCATGAATAGTATTATTTTACAATCAACACAAACTATTGATTTATATTAAAAGCTTTTGGTACTGAAGAAACCTCATGTGAATAAGTCATTTTGCTTTAAAAATAAACATCTAAATGTAAAAATGCAGTTTAAACATTAAAATTGGCAGGTACGATGTCTAGACGTAAAACCAGAGTAAAGTAATAGAAGCAGAAACTTTTTTACTGTCGGCTTAGGATTCATAAATTTAAACACTAAAATACTGCTTGTCCAAACTGTATTTATAAAACTTATTGTCGAGTTCGTATCGCTTGCTAACAGAACACTTTGATGTATTTCAGCTGCGGAAGCCGGTATCGACGCTCTCGATCCCCGGCGCGATGAAGGCGTACTCCGGCGGGGGGAGAGATGCGGGGGGCGAGGAGGCTGGCGTTGCACTAGTTGGCGTCCACAGCGAGTATCCGCGCTTCGGTGAAGAACGAGCGCTTGGCGGCGGCACGTATAAGGGCGGGGGGACAGCTAAGCACAAACCCAATATAGGATATAGGTGAGTGCTCAAAGCTCCTATCCTAATTGGAGTGGACCTGAGCAATGTTCTAAAGAATTTAGTTCGGGGACACAGTGTTCGCTTCTAAACTGTGTAGCTTAAACGAGAATGAACTACTTACACATGTTCAAACCAGGACTTAAAGATTTTTGTTATTTGGGTTTTTATTGTGGGTATTTAGAATGAATGACGCCAATTGTCGAGAACAACAACTTTAAGATGTAGATTTTGACGACATTCATATCTTTGCTTTTAAATGTTTGACTAGTTACAGTTTCTTAATCGATTTTAAATAGATTTATGAATTAAAAAAAATAAAACTCCCATGTCTTTTTTTCAACATTTTCATTATTTTATCTTATTTCTGGACATAAATTCATCGTATTAGTATAAATCTAATCTAATAAATTTCTTTTAACCTAATTAAATTTAAAGCACACAAGGTTGGACACTGCAGCATAATTGGAGAGCATTCTTATCGAACCGCACAATCCTAAGCTTCGTTCTTTGCTTGAAAAAAAGTCATAAAATAAATTTTAGACAAAGCAACACTTAAATTTCACTAACGCTTACGACACTAATAATAAATTTCTGTGATAAATTAAAGAAATTAAAAAATAGTATGTATACTATTATTTAATTTATTGACAATATGTTTATAATCATATAAATCCTGTAAGTTCGTATTTTTCAAAATTGTATGAACCTACAGAAATGTATATGCGTTTCATTTGTGAATACGGCAAAGTGACATCCGAAGTTGTTTGATTGACCACGGCTACTGCTGACCACAAACCGCCAAAGCCTTTATGAACCTCCCGTTATGGTTAACCGATATGAAATTTACATTTGGACGTTTGGATAGTACTGCGTGGCTTTAGAATTAAAAAATAAATGTTTTTGCAAGTTTTTACTAATTGTATAACTTACATGGAATGTTAAAAAAATATGTTTTATATATATGAACCTGAATTCATATGCATGCTTATATAATACAATAACAATAAACAGATGTGAGACATAGGTTTAAGTGCAGCAAAGAAAATGTTTTACTTAATGCATTAATATTTTGTCATAGCTTCAATTAGTTAACGTTTTAAATCAATATCTTGTAAAAGTACAAATTCTTAATTAACACACATAGTACAATACCGTGGAATTAGAGGTCTTTCTTTTTCTGCAATTAATTCGAAAAAGTACTACCTTTCTAATTTTTTAAGATTTTCTTAAAACTTTAATTAAATCATATGCAAATAATTATTCCAAGCGGAAATCGTAGCTGAATACAATTTAAACACTAAACAAGAAAGAAGTAAGATTATATTCAACTAGAGCAAAAGCTGTACACTTTAGCGACTTCTTCTGAAGGTTATTCTATTTTAAACATACTGTATGCTTTTCACGTACGAACTACTTTTACTCAAAGAATTAACGGTGTACATACTTCTGTATATACTGTTTTAATATATATACTGTCCCAGCCATCTTTATTGGTGCATCGGAAACAGCAAAACATAAGTTGGTCATTGCTCCTTTGTTACCTTTGAAATTACCACATTTTATCCTAATTATGAATCCCAGTAAGTTCCAAAACTATCTATCATTAGATTTAGTTTCTCACTAAGTTTCTTGGATGCGGGCAACACAGGACCGGGTGTTTTAGCGAACCTTGGGGAAGGACTATGTCCAACAGTGCACCTTTTTGGCTGAGGTGATGAAGCTTTAAAAAAATGTTACTATATATATGATAATCACCAACTTCATAAGTCGTTTTTAAAATGATTTGATATACAATTGAAAATAATAGAGACATTATTTTCCATACACAATTTGCCTATTTAGGTAAATGCTGTCGATAATATTGTCAGTACCTAAGGCTAATAGCAGCACTTTAATAAGAGTAGCAGTAACTCGTGAGCTCGTTTGGATGTAGAAATCAACGGGGGTATCTCCCAAGACACAGCATATGTTCTGAATGCGGTAGTTGTCTTTAAAAAGTAAGATATTGCTTTTCGACAACAAACAATTTAAATATTAGATTTATAAATCGCAATGAATTCAGAAACCTCTGCTGGTTCTCAAGTTACTCGACTCCCAAAAAGGTGAGGTTCTATAAGTGAAAGAATCAAACTTTAACTTTGTTCAAGAGAAATTGAAGGTATAAGATGTTGCTTTTTTTAAATTTTTAAATCCGTCTAATCTCAAAAGAGGTAGACTTGGTGCTCTAGTAACCAGACTGCTGATTAATTTCAGTAGTTTGTCTACCATATTTATACAATAAAATACATATCACTCCTAGACACCGAATGGTTAATATTGGGTATTACACAACCCTTCCCCTCCCCCCACATGGCGGAGGGCCTGGTCGATTCGACAGGTTCACTAACCACCACATAACCCGATGCACAACAATTTAATGAACGAAAGTTTAATTTTACTTATGCTCAGCAATTAAGATATCTTTATGAATACTTTATTATACAGCTGATATATTGCCCAGTACTTTCATTAACTCTCTTGGGTTATATAAAACCAATAAGCAACGTAATTAGTCTGGGGTCAATCTTTGACCAAAAGCCTACGAGTTTATTCTCCCGAGACAAGAATGCTTAAACAATGTATTATCCTACGTGTGCTATTGAGTCTCATAACTACGTAAATTGTTTATATGACAAATAAATCTTAAAACAATAAACTTGTACGTGACCTTATTAGGCTTGATACACACCACCCTAGTATGTAAGATAATATTAAGTAGTAAGACGCTATTAGACCGGGGTCATTATTCACGTCTCCATGATAGGGTCTTACAAATCATACGCGAAGCGAAGTTTAACGCTGGCAACAGCGAAAAAAGGAATAACAACAGACATAAGAACTAACATCGCATTTGTAAAGGAAGGCTTAACAAAAAAGACTTCACAAGAGCCGCAATCAGTTATAAATACAGCCAGTGACTTTTTTTTTTCTGTGCGGAAATCCCCTCGGATACAAAATCATTAAATCATTACAGAATACCGGAGGATATCTGTGCCTCAGCGTCCAGACCAGACATATTTCTTGATGCAATTTCAATTAAGCGTGTAGTACTAGTAGAACTCACGGTGCCGTGGGAAACGAAGATCTCCACGAAGAGAACACGCTTTAAAAAGAAACAAGAACTTTGACTTAACCAACGAAATAACTAAAAATGGTTATGTCGTTGCGTTATATGCCGTAGAAGTGGGGGCGTATACCAGGTAAATCCCTCTATAACCTGCTTAAAGACCTTGGATTACCAAGACCTTCAGTAATCTCTTTTCTTAAACGAATATCCAAAGCGACATTCCTAGGCTCGTATCAAATATGGTTATTTAGAGGGGGTAAACGGGGCCAATAAATGTAGATACTTATATACAGAGGTGTCGGTAACGGTAACGGTGTCCCGAGTTCTATGGTTTTTTCCCATCTCAAAAAATACATTATTTTGTTTGTTGTTCACAAATGTACAACATGCCTTAAGAAGTATACAGTTCAAAAAAGAAAAAAGAAGTGCAACATCCTGTGCATTGTGAACACTCCTTCTCCATAATACACTATACTCCATATACAATATATAACACAACATAATATATGTAGATAGCATCGGCCGGAACATGCGTCGAGCGGTTCGATAACCGGTTTCCTAGTGATAAATAGTATTAGCCTATTGTTGGTTCTATTCTATAAACATTGTTTTTAGTTTTAAGTTGTTTCTAAGCGATTTTCTGTTTTAATAGATTGCTCAAAAGTGACTCAACGTCCAGGCAAACGTGTTAAGGTTTTTGGGATGTTTTATAGCTAACATCTGAATTGTACATTTTGTGTCAATAAATGGAAGTTACCTAACCTTAATTAGTCGTCACTTAACATACACTAGTTAATAAAATACTCTTTTTTACCCAAAGAAAATGTCCACTTCGAGTACTTCATAGTTGCTCACAAACTTTAATTAAGTCAAACCTATTTCTTGAAGGAATTGAGTAGGTAGTAGTAAGAATTTAGTCAATTTACATTTCCTCATACAGGTGTACAGCATTGTAATCTCGAGGGAATGTTTTCTTAAATGAATAACCTGTCTTGAAAGTCTAAAATCCTTCCTGTTACATTATTATGTGTTGTTTATGACCTCGAAGCGCGTCCTTATCAATATTGTATCAAACTCGTGCGGTATTTTAGGCGACCTTTTCGAAGTAACAAAGGTGTATTATACGTTAAGCGAGTTTTTTTTCAGAAAGCTTTTATAATATGAGAATAAGTAATCATTGAAGATTAAAAAGGTATTTTTTTATCTAAATTTATATACGCTATTGCACTAGTATAAAAGGTTATTGTAATTTTATGGAAATCCAAATTTCCTTCCGTGATTAAATACTTTTTTTTCTCTTCTGTTCCACCCACCGGTGGTGTATGTAGTATTCGAACCAACCAAAAACCGCACGCCGTCTCGGGTACTAGTTGCCGAGGAACCAGATGTTCCCTAGGAAGGGAATCATTGATACCTACCTAGGGCAATCTATGGTGTGTAAATCCTGTGTGGGAACCCCTATATGTTCCTTGAGCTCCCGAAAGGGCGCGCGCGCTCGCAACGTGCCTCGCCTGCTTCTGCTAGGATGACAGCTGGCCTCACCTATAACCCCCAAGCTTGTGCTTATGAATGATGGAGGTCGTTCTGTGACCTCCGGCGCCTGAGTCGTCTCAACCTCTCTTAAGAGAGTTCTTAACCTCTCCCGGTCCTGCTCAGTCATCTCCTTTGCTAGCATAACTTGCTCGCAGAAGGAGACGGCGGAGTTCAACGAACTCTCGCTCCGTACTATGGCCGCAATTATGTTATCGAGCGAGAGAATTCCCACTCCGATGGCCGCCCCGAGGCAGCGCCTCTGCTCCACCCACGGCGGGCATTCTGCCGGAGTGTGGGGCGCCGTGTCCATCTGGCTCCTGCCGATCAGACACAGGTGATCTCCGAAGCATCCTTTCCCGTAGATCACCTGAGTCAACCGGTATGAGATGGTTCCGTGATGCCTTTCGAGCCAATCCTCCGTAACGTGATTAAATACCTACTCTTCACATTTAGCTTTTATCCCACCGGCCGTCTTCAACGGCTCAGTTATACCGTGGAGTCCAGTAGTCAAGGACCTAGGCCTGCTCATCGACTCAACCCTTGACTGGCGTGCTCAGGTTACTCATGTGAGTCAGAAAGTAACCGGAAACCTGCGAACGTTACACACTCTTAAGAATTTCCTGCCACCTAAAACGAAAATCTCACTCATGCAGTCCCTAATTATCCCTTTAATTGATTATGGCGATGTGTGTTGCTTCGACCTGAATGCAGACCTCCTTAACAAGCTAGACCGTCTTCTCAATAACTGCATTCGATAAATATTTAATCTTCGAAAGTATGACCACGTCTCTGCTTTTCGTTCCCAATTGCAATGGTTGCCCGTTCGCCTGCGCCCTAATCAGCGAGCGCTGACCTCTCTCTTTTCCTTCCTCAACTCCCCATTCTCACCCACTTACCTTGATCCCTATCTGCGTTTCCTGTCCACTAATCACGGTAGAAATCTTCGCTCACCAAATAATTTGCTTCTCCTTTGTCCCTCCCATAATTCCGAGTTTGTGAACTCTTCATTCTTTGTGCAAGCAGTACAACTTTGGAATGCGCTCCCACTTTATTTCAGGATGTCCACAAACCGTTTCACATTTAAAAAGAATGTGCGTAACTACCTTCTTCAGCTGGCGGAATTACCTACTCAATAGTACACCTCCATATTTACAGTGTACGAATATAAAGTATATGTATTTTATGTGTGTTTATATCTATATATGTATATGCGTGTATGTGTGTATGTATGTGTTTAATTGTATGTTATTTATAACTGCTATAGTAACTGCAACCTTAGTGCACCTACCTCACCAAATTTCTACACACCCCCCAAAGGTTGGCTGGTAGAGAATGCCTTGGGCATTAAGCCCGCCGTTGTACATAAGTGCATAAAGTTGTAAATAAGTAAATAAAAAAATAAAAAAACTGTTTATAGATTTCCGTCAAACCATTTTATAGCTGACGCGTCCCTAATATTAACACTTTTTTTTTATTTTTTATTAAATCCATGTGTATAAAAATGTTAAGTTGGTGTCTGTACGCTTTAGGAACTCACAAAGTTCTGCTCCGATTAAGCTCAATTTTTTACAAGATATACAACGCGCTTCAAAGATGGATTTTCAAATACAATGTACAACAGCGAAGCATACTAGGGTACAGCTAGTTACTCTCCCGGCCCGCCAGGCCCGGGAACGGGCCAGGTACCGCAGGCGACTCAGGCGCCGGAGGTCGCAGAACGACCCCCGTCCTCCATAAGCGCAGGCCTGGGGGTGACAGGTGAGGCCATCTGTCACCCTAGCAGAAGCAGGCCGGGGTGGCGGCGAGCGCGTTGCGAAGCGCGCTCGCTTCCAGGGAGCAGAGGGAACATGGGGTTCCCACACGGGGGAGGTCGTCTACCTGTTGTTGCAGATGGCCCGAGGTATGTCGGGGCACCAGGGACTTCCTTTCTAGGGTATACCTGGTTCCCCGGCTATTAGTACCCGAGACGGCGTGCGGTTTTAGTCGGTTCGAGTCCGACATGCCACCGATAGGTGGTATCCGAGGGGATTTCCGCACGGAAAAAAAAAAAGGGTTCAGCTAGTTACTTATATCATTGTAATATTTTTTATGTTATAGCAAAATACATCTTAAAATAATCAAGGACCTTAACAGTCAAAGATTGCATCGACATAGATGAAAAAAAATTTTGTTTTCAAAATAAAGTGGCAAATCATAAACCACGAGTTGAATGTGGGGATAATAAATAAATATTTTTACCTTACAGAAAATGAACTTAGACTTGAGTTGTTTTAATAATGCCTATGTTGCCTTGAACGAACGGAAATAACTTGCATCAGGGTCGCATCGATTTTATTCGTCTTTGAAATCATTTTAGTACAGTATAGAACTTATTGTCATTAATACACTTTTTACGTTCACGAGATCTGTTAGTCTTATCAACGTAATTATATAAAAAATAGTCATTGCATATTAAAATCTGTACTTCAAAACTTTCAGTGAGTGAAGCGCTTAAAATATGGTAAGAAACTATCTCAAATAAACTTATGATTACCAGGATACCAGGTTATTTCTATCTAGTTCATATTATTTCATAATCTACTTTTGTATCATATTATTTTTATCTACTTTTTTTAAAGTTAAACAATAATTAATTTGAGATCTTACGAATACTAGAAAGTAACTATTAAATGACAATATTAACTCTAAATAAACGTATAGGTCTTGTTTGACAAACTTAAATTAATACCCTACTATTGAAATACCAGTTTCAAAATTATTAAAAAGACTTAAAATAATCTTAAATATCATCAAAAATAGGTTCCGTGATAAGTAGTTCAACAATAATAATAATGAACTGACACATCTTACACATGGCCCAAACTAGGCTAAACTAAGCCTGTACTACTGTAAACCAGACTTCTGAGAAACATGCTTATATATGTACATACACATATATTATACATACATACTTATATATTTTAGAGAAACTACACCTAGACACAGAACAAATGGTGGTTCTCATTAGACAATATTCGACCTGGGTGTTAAATTATCTCACGACCACTGTCCTAGCTGTCAGAGTCGCTAATCACTAGATCAACAGGACTGGACAGGAAACAAAATAACAGTCTCGAGAATAAGACCCTATGTCTCATCATTAATTGCTTACTCTAAATCTAGAAATATCAACTAATTTATATTATTTCTTATTTTACAGATTAGGTAGAAGAAAGGCGTTATTTGAAAAACGGAAAAGAATAAGTGACTACGCTTTAGTAATGGGAATGTTTGGTATTATAATTATGGTTATAGAAAATGAACTCTCAAGTGCCGGTGTATATACTAAGGTAATTTGTTTATTTAATTCGAATCTTATATTTACGACGTAAGGATGGTTTTTGAACTCATACATAATTTTACAGGCATCAATATATTCGCAAGCGTTGAAGACGCTTATATCAATGTCGACTGTGATTTTACTTGGCCTAATCGTCGCGTATCACGCTTTAGAAGTACAGGTAAAAAATTTACTTAAACTTTAGACCCTCGATATTACGAAGTAGGAATTTTTTTCCTTAATTTGCGTCTCCTGCAATTCAGTAAATCGATATTTTAATTTCACGGCAGTCTGGGTTATGGAAAAAAGTTAAGACTTATGGGTCCTATTAAAAAAGTTGCTAACATTGGACGTATTCGTGGTAATAGTAGGTATATGGTTTTTTTTTTGGAACTCTAGAACTTAATCGAACGAAAAAACTAATAGCTTACACACCTGAGCAGTGTTTTTATTCAACAAAGTAAAAATACTGTCCAGATTTATGTGAGCGCAATTATTTTCACCTTGGGAGTACCGGCACAAGTGAGCTGCCTCAATCGAAGTTTCGAAGCATAAGGATTAAAATGACAAATACCTAGATCGCAAATTGTCAAAAGTACACAATGCAGAATATCCAGTTCGCAGGATATCCAATATTCATCCGGCAAGTGCCATAGCCGAATAACTTGCGTTGTAGTAGTTGAACCAATTCCACTAGTTTATAGAAAATAAACCGGTAGGTTAGGTTAGTATTGCTTGGGTCCAGAAGGAGATAGCTACCTGGACCCCTCCTAAACTGGAAGCGCAAAGAGGGCACACCGTGTGGTTTTAGTCGGTTCGAGTCCGACACACCGCCCCGCCGAACGAGAGCCCCGGCGGGGTGACGGTCCGAGGGGATTTCCACACGTACTTGCGACCAGCAATACAAGAGCCGAGCCGTCAGTTTGCCGTGGCACCGGCTGGCTAGAACCAGAAAAGAAACAAATTATATTGTACACTCTGTTGTTCATTCTGTGAAATAAAGTAAAAATCGATATTCGAGCAGTTAAGCCGTTTCATTAATTTTTTTTACTTTGAATTTGTAAGCTTTGAAGTTGTAAGCTTCTGACATTCTGCTCTTTTGACAATCATCCTCACAAAAAACAACTGTGATCAATTCTTTCGTTTGAAATTCTGACAAGAACACTCAAAGGCACTCTCGTGACATGAGTGGAGGTTGCCCCCCCCCCCCTTAAAAAAATAAGTACTTTTTTGCCACATTCAGTTGATTTTAGATTGAAAATAGTGAGTTGATACAAAATAGTTTATGGAATGGGTAGATTTAAATGAGACATTTACTTTAATAAGCAAACCGTTAAAAAATATATTATTTAACGTTAACAAAAATATTTTTGCATGGTGTAAAACAGTGTGTGCTCTGCTTTTCAGTTATTTATGATAGACAACTGCGCTGACGACTGGCGGATAGCAATGACATGGCAGCGGATAGCTCAAATTGGCCTCGAACTTGCTATTTGCGCCGTTCATCCTATCCCAGGGCAGTATACCTTTACTTGGACGACAAAGTTGGCTAATAAAGGAGGTGTCATCGGCGTTGAAGTTGTAAGTATCGTGAGACCATTTAACTTTTTGATTTATTAATTGCATTTAAAGCTACTGTAATAATGCACCAGCTGAGATGTAATGTAAATTTATTTTTTAATAGCATTATCTGTTCTTTCGAATGAAAGTGATACTTCTTTGTAAAATATCATTATTTATGTACTTGTATATAATTCATTAGAAATTGTCGTAAAATGTTGTATTCTTTTTGCATTGACTTTATTTCTCGTTGTTTAGCTATAAACTATCTCAATCCGTAATGTAGTTTACTTTCAAACTGATATTTATTTTTATTTTCTCCTTAGGGCACGATGTATAAGCAAATTCAGGTCTGTATATTGTCGAAGTAACAAAGTTTTAAGTGATGTTAGAGTTCTCGTCTTGAGCATGTCCCATTTTTATGTAAGAATATATCCACTGCTTTGTGAATGTGATTTTGATGATAATAGTTTAGTTCTTATTATTCATGTACTTTTCTGCCATTATTATGTTCACTTTTTTTTGTGCATGTAGGACACAAGATTTAAAGTTTTAAAATATGATCCAAAGGTTTTGGTATTTAATTGCTGATATTTTTTATTAAAATGTTTACTATAAAATATAAAAACTGGATGGCCAATATCGGAAAAGCTTTGCAAAAGGCATACACATGTAGAGGACCTTTAATATGTTATCTAATCAAGAAAAATAGATCTCTCTTCTAAATTTAATCCCGTTTAACTTAATTAACGTGAAACATGCGTATAAACTTCAGTGATTGTATTGGAAAGAAAGTGTTCATCCTAAGCATGGTGCATCGCTACGCTGACGGTTGTCCGAGTTCTGTTGCACTACATGGCCACCTCGTCCCTCTATGTGATGTTTTACCAGAATGCCAGCTGTCTCTCATAACATGACTGACATGACGATTAATATGATATACTTTAAAATAAAAACATTTTATTTTAAAGATCATAAACGCCTTATTTTTAAGTTTTTTTTATCTACTATAAACACCAAAAATTGTTGCACCTGAAATCACGGCTGGGTAACGGACGATGACTGTTTCACATCAGAGCTTAGAAATGATTTCTATCTTCCTTAAAAGGCTAGATTCCAGAAAATCTTTTGTAAAATAGATTAATTTTTACTACCGGCATATAGCAACACCACTTGTCAATTTGAGTACGGGAACAAAGTCGATGGCAATTTCTTTGAGAAAAGGCATAACACAAAGAGATTTTACTTCTAAAATATTCTGGAAGACGTCTTCAAGTTCCTGAAAGGCAAAACTTGGTATTAATATTTAAGATAAGTCAGGGACGTCGCATAGTGGCTGACTACTGTGTAGACGAGAGAGAGATGCTCTTCTTGCGAGGACTGTAGGTGTAGTGTACTCTATCAGGACGCTAATGAGGCTCTAAGGGTTACCAGACTATAGTGGTTGCTGAAGAGGTATGATATCCTTATTGAAGCCGAAGTTACTGGATGGCTGAGACTGGTTTATTTACATACAAAACTTTCATGTCACGAATCAGGATTAGTAGTTGGATGTGACTTCGTTAGATGCCACTGAAGTATGTTTCTTTTGCGTTGTATTCGGAAGTCGCGTATATATATATTTTTTTTTCTTAAAAAAGACAACTCCCGCATTAGGAACATATCCTGTGTCGCGGGAGACTTTACAAACATACATGAAACGGACACAAAGAACACCCAGACTCAGAACAACAATTTGTGGATCACACAAAGTGTCGTCCCATGTGGGGTTTGAACCCACAACACTCGGCGCAGTAGGAAGCGGCGTGGTGACCGCTTAAACCACTACGCCATCCGTGCAGTCAATTTATTACTCATTCATTCATGCGATACTTATTAGTATATTACTCGTGTCTTACCTTCAATTTTTCATTGAATATAATGGGCATGGCGAAATCTATGGAAGATCACACAAGGTTGCTCAGTGACCTCAAAAAAGTCCTCCAAAGGGTGAGACTCTACGAACATGGCCAAACGACGATCATGTTTATATTCATAAGATACTTACACCCTTTACTGTGTGGGAACATATGGGATGGATAGAACATCAATTCGCATGACGCCCATGAGTTAACAACTAATGAATGTTTTTAAAAACATTAATAGAACAAGAACGTTCTACTACAGTTATATTAAAAAAACTTAAATTTAAAAACAGTTGGCTTCAGGCTTCAGATTGATTACAAAAGAAACCAGCCAAAACCCTTGGCGATGTTACATTGCACCAACCGCAAATATAATTGTTGAATGAGATGTAATATTTTGATTAGACTTTTTGAATGGCAATGTTTGAATCATTGCTGAAAATATAAAAATCAATATAATATTTTGAGAACTTACCTAAATTTCTTCTATGCGCCAATAACAGTATTATGGTAATATTTTAATGAAGATCGGTTGATAAACGACGGTTGATTTAAGAAATACGTTGTAATATTTTACTAACTAGCTTATACGGCAAAATTATATAATTGCTCCACATTTTTAATCAAACCATTTGAACATCACCACAGCACATATCACATTATAATTTAGACTTAATGTTTGATAATGTTGTAGTTACTGATGCAATTTATTCACTTAATCATGACTGACATCACTTGAAATGTTATGGAACCGTTAAAATTGTGTGTTAATATGTGGCCGTGCCTTAAGGTGGTATCTTTCTTTGTTTGAGCCATGAATATTAAGATTGCCCTAAGCACTTTATTAAAATATTTATTTTTCTGATTTCAGGTTCCGTATGATGTTACGTTGTCTCTGCCAATGTTCTTTCGTCTATATTTAATATGCAGGGTCATGTTGCTTCACAGTAAATTATTTACCGATGCTTCATCAAGGAGTATAGGAGCTTTAAACAGAATTAATTTTAATACTAGGTAAATAGATTTGATGACCGGTTTTATTTTTCAGTAATTAGGGCTTAAACTTATAATTTAATGTTTATTATGGTTTTTTGGAAAATATTTATTTGTTTTTAAAACATAAATGTGTAATAAATCGTATTGTACTTCATTTTGAGTGAGATTTAGTAGTTGGCATATGACTAGATAGTATTATCGGTGTCTCTGGTAAGGGCAGAATAAGAATGTATCTTATGTAATGTTTTTTAAAGAGTTGAGAGAGTTGATGGACGTACACATTTTTGCAATTATATCTAGTCCAACTGTCATGTAATTTAAAAAAACCAAATCGGTTCTGTCGTCTTCGAGTAATCGGTGAACATACATAAAAAAAGATTTTGACGAATTGAGAACCTCCTCCTTTTTTGAAGTCGTTTAAAAAACAATAATTTAATTCCAACTAAGGCCTGTAAACAAGTGGTTTCTACTCGTTATTTGCAAAAACTACAGTTTCAACCACTGCTGGTGGGATCTGTTGTTGAATGAATTATTTTATGAATGAATGAAAAATGTAATATTGAATTTAATGATGATGTACAGATACATAAGTTTCATTTTCATTACTGGTAACAACACTACGTATTTTACTTTAATAAAGTTTCTTTCTAATCATTTACTGCGCCAATTTACAGATTTGTCTTGAAAACCCTTATGACAATTTGTCCGGGCACCGTATTACTAGTTTTTATGGTATCTCTTTGGATAATTGCGAGTTGGACGCTCAGGCAGTGTGAAAGGTTAGTACAGATTATATGTGTGTTGTTAGTGAAATACAACTTTGTACGTACTTATACGTAACGTTTTCTTAGTAATGTCGTGTGAGTGAAATACTGAATTATTTAAAAAAATAATTTGCTCCTTCAACTCCTGCAAAATATTACCTCCTTTCTCAATGAAACTTATTCGATTTTTTGACTTTGTATTTTTGCTTCATTGTTTTAGTTTGATGTCTATATTCTGTGTTTTATACATCAATTGTTTTTTTTTGATCACCGATGTTAATGCCTAAGGGGGCATGCTATATTGCTTTTGTACTGTGTTGTTGTAAATATGTTTTATTTTTGGCTTTTAAATCCACTGTGTTTTTTTGTTATTGTTTTATATGTTTTTTATATAAATAATTACGGAGAGTTATGTAGCGATGCTAGGTTCATAATCATCACTATAAGATACAAGAGTTTGACTTTGATTATTTTCGCAATAAAAAGCTTTTGTAAGAATTAATCTGAACACAAGTGCTATATTCAATGTTATTAGTTTATGTATTAGATGTAGCAGTTTAAATTAATCGATGTCAATAAGAGGATGCTTGTTATGATAGTAAATGCGAAAATGAATCAGAAATGTAAAATTTGTGTGACTGCACCAACATATAAATTAACAGAACAGACGCCGTATTACTTAACAATATTATGATATTAAACCGATAGAAAATTCTGCACGGCTTACCTTATAATGATATTACATTATATGACAAACAAATGTAATATTTTAAAAGGGATTTTACCACGCACAAAATGGCTCTAGGATATTTAAACACCTTATGTTAGATGAAGCTTCAGAGATACATGCACAAATCTATTGCACCTTATCACGTTCATGCATCAGAACAAGTTACCTCTTCTTCTAATTCGAAGAAAGATGCTTGTGACTCTCTCTTTTACATGTTTTCTTCTGTCTTCTTGCCACTCTATCTACTTGATGTTTATATGTGTTATCATGACCTTCACCTAAGGTTAAAATTTTAATTCACGCATGGCTACCAGTATAATTATTATGTATTCAGCCCAGATAAATGTTTAGAATGCACGTTGTATTTAAGAATTTTTATATACGATTGTAGTACGTATTTCTGTTTAGTAAGAAAGTTTTGTGTTCCATTTGGCATGACAAAATTTTCTTTTACGTATAGGAATTCTATTAAACAATAAATGTTTTGCTAAATTTAACTTGATTTCTCAAATAACTGTCGAAATACAATTTCAAGTAAAATTGCCACAATAAGAATTAATTTCTTCAATTATTAAAAAAGGCAATTATGTAAGTTTTTCATTACTATGGTAAAACAAACGGTTATCTGTGGTTCTTGTCGGGCATTTTGGCTCTCAGGTTCCACGACGAAGATCATGCCAATTTGCTAAACTCAATGTGGCTGACAGCTATAACCTTCCTCTGTGTTGGCTACGGTGACATAGTCCCCAACACCTATTGCGGCCGCGGCATAACCCTCACCTGCGGTATGGTGGTATGTATGAATAATCTAGTAGGATACTTGGGTGGTTTGATCAAATTCATTTTTCATACGTTTATTGTGGCTAGGACTGAGCTATGCTAGGCATCGCAAGGTTTAATATACCCAAATTACTTATTTATATTTTTAAAATAGTTTCATTTAAGAAGGATTAATATCAGAAACTTGCTTTGTTTAGTGATGCTCTGTTAGATCGGTAAAGGTGAGCCATTTTATGTGTTGTTAAAATGTCAGGCAAAAAATCTCTAAAACAGTTAACAGTTAATCCTAAAATCAAAGTCAAACTCTTTAATCGGACATCGGACGTCTTATTTTTTTTTTGTTTTATTTCTGTTTACATTAAATACACATTCCGTGTAGGAGGCAACTTGCGTATGACGGGTCGTAAGGTTGGAATTATTAATAAATACTCATTTATAAGCCACACTAACATTTTGGTGGACACGTCAATGAGTAAAGCGTTGAAATTTATTAAACATTCAGGTTTCACGATGAAGAACACGCTAACCTACTGAATGCGATGTGGCTCATTGCTATAACGTTTCTCTCCGTCGGTTTTGGTGACATAGTGCCAAACACTTATTGCGGCAGAGGTATTGCTGTTAGCACCGGTATTATGGTAAGTTCTTACAAACAAACTTTATGACTGTATGTGTTGACTGACGTTATTGGATAAATTACACACTTACTGTTAAAAATAAAAATTGTTCTCTATTAAATTGGCCCTTACTATAAGAACACTTATATATTGAAACAATCACACAGAATGCACGTGAATGGTTTCAATTTCGTATATATTTCTTGCGCTTTTGAAATTAATCTAACAGTCAGTCAACACCAATATATCAATGTATCAACAATCACACACTACACTAAAATGCTTCACACTATCAACATTTAAGCTAACTTCACCAAGTGTTTCGGTGTACTAGATGTTATAAATAGTTTTAAATTTTATTAATGTTCACAGATCCGTAATAAGAGACGTTGATGTTACAATACAATGAATGCAATATTAAGTGTATATGTTAATTTGACTTTATATTTTATCACACATATTTGTATATGACTTCACCACTCTTTACGACTCACACTCAGTTCACACCGTATTTTGGTATAGGATTACCGGAATATTAAATTCGTAGTTTTTGCAGGCAACAGCATTATTTGGAATTCTTACATCTTAATATTATAAGTACGATGATAACGATTTTTTAAATAAATTAACGTCCATTTCCCTGTTAAAGCCAGCTATTAGAATTATATAATTTGTAGTATGGAATGCTTCATTTCTCCTTACTATTTCTAGTTCTCTCTTCACTTAAATTCTAATTCACTGGATTGCACTATAAGTTTGTTTTTAAAATGGCTCACTTTTCCTAAAATTATTTTAATACAGAAGTGTACAATAAATCGTATTGCACCTAAATAGTGTTTGTGTTAATGTTGATAAAATTAAGTAAATGGCATAAGTACTAGATGTATCTAATGATAAAATGAAAATCATTTTGAATTGGTTCAGTCTTGTGCACATATTAGATGGAAAGCACTGATAAGGATGAATCATTATCACATTGTGACGATACTTTTATGATAATTAAAAATATGAAACAATAAAAGAAGGAAAAGAAAGGTAAGACTGGTAAGAATTTTCCTTCTTTTATAATACTTTCTACTAGTCATTTGCATTTTAGCACTAACTGTTTAAAATAACATTTGTAATTTGCCTAATAACGACATTAAAATAGAAATATAAAATAACATGCTATCAAAGAGGATACTTGAGACAATTGTAAACGATTCGCTTCGCCATTCCAAACATACTTGTTACTTAAAATTGTGTCTATTATCCTCTCATACTTTAAATTATATAATAATATAAAATGAAATAAAATGATAGCACATTGCTGAAAAATATAGTTTGTTTTAGTTTTTAGCCTTCAAAATTGCCTTATTGGAATGTCGAGTTCTTGAATGCTTCTACACGTTCGCTTGCATTTTACATTAAGGTATTCACTTAACAGGGAGCTGGATGCACAGCGTTATTAGTCGCGGTTGTTTCAAGAAAATTAGAATTAACTAGAGCCGAGAAGCACGTTCATAACTTCATGATGGACACACAACTTACTAAAAGAGTAAGTATTTCTGTGATATAAGTATACATCAATCTGTATTAATCTAATTAACAGGGGGCGGGATGTACAGCATTATTAGTGACCGTTGCTTCAAGAAAATTAGAGTTAACTAGAGCGGAGAAACATGTCCATAACTTCATGATGGAGACACAACTTACAAAAAAGGTAAGGTGACTGTTACACAAGTAATAGTCAAAGGATACCAGGAAGGTAAGACCTGTAAGCTAGGTTAAGCTAAATTTCAAATCCTTAAATCAGACTAAATAAATAACAAAGATCTGCTTATTATTTGCGCTTGTCATTTTGACTTACACCAAATTAATAAATGAGAGGGTTGAAGACTAATACTATTGTAGTGCCACTTTGCTAGAAAATAAATATACTAATAAATTAATAAATAACCAAGGATAGTGTTTCAGTAAGCAGTATAGCTTGAACTACCTAAAGCTTTACAGAAATCATTGGACACTACGTGTCGTCTTTTGAGTTTTTTTCTTCCTTAAATAATAATATTTTATGACATCTAATGGAAACTGATTTCAGCTGAAAAATGCTGCAGCCAACGTGCTACGAGAGACATGGTTAATATACAAACATACTCGGCTCGTGAAACGAGTCCATCCAGGAAGAGTGAGGACTCATCAGAGAAAGTTTTTATTAGCTATTTATGCGTAAGTTTTTAATTAACATACTGATAATGTTGTTTTTAATGCATTGTTAGTAATATATTAGTATTTAGTGTTTGCGTGTGGACTTTATTATTTTAGTTAATTAACTTGTATAGTAAGTATGAGTAGTTATGACTATTTCTGCCTATTGGGCTGTCAATGAAACAATCATCATTACAACAACACGTTTTCTATGATAATAAGAGTTAATATGATTTTTACTAAATAATTTCTCTATTCGTTCCAAATCAATGAGAATTGATCTATATATATAACATACGACCAAACAGAAAAGTGTCGTAACCCTGCGATCAAATCAAATATTTTCAAACTGTAAACTTTGGTCATATTTTACAATCGTAACATTGCGATACATACGTTTTCAGGTTACGAAAAGTCAAGATGGATCAAAGAAAATTAATGGATAATGCCAACACAATAACAGATATGGCAAAGGTACGTTGACGCCCATGATATAATTTTAAGGCTATTGCTACACTCATACACCCATTAGAGATAGACCCTTAGTTAGCACATTAGGAATGCAACAATTTAATAGTTTTACATATAATAGTAGTTTATATAGAAATAGCTATGATTTTAGTGTACATTTTATGTTCGTTAAAATAATTATTAGACAAAATCCAATTAGATACTTAGTTATAGTATTTAAGGAATTGAATAAAGAAATGCCTTCGGATACTGAAGCGAAATTATTTCATGAGCATGATAAATTAATCAAGAACCATTTCTTCACTTGCTTTGCGCATGCCCTGTCATGATCTTAACAGTCATGTTGATAAAACGCTGCATGATAAATAAAAATAAAAATTTGTCCATAAACACATCTAGAGGTATAGTTTTAATCCAAATAAATCATGCACGTTACACATTTTTGTTTTATTAAACGATACTTATACTACACATACATACACATACACAAACACAAAGGTATGTTTAGAAACTACAATTAAAAATGAACTGCAAAGCGATTGAAATTAGGACCCCTTTCTTTTACAGACCCAGAACACAGTTTATGAGATAGTATCAGACATGAGCACAAGACAAGATACTATTGAAGAGAGGCTGACTAGTTTAGAAGAAAAACTTACTTCATTACAGGTACGGCACTCGGCACTTGTTACTTTCTCCAACCCTTAATCGAGGTTGTAGACCAAAGCGATATCATTCACAATAAACAAATTTCAGATACCTATTTTAGAACTTTTATTACGGTGTGCTTTTAAATACGAGTAGCTATCTTTTTTTTACATATACCTAACTAAAGATAATGTAAGCTTTTTATATGGTACTTGTAATTTTTAGAGGTACAAAATATTTTGGTAGGTACTGAACCATAAAAAAGCCTGTAAAAATGTTAATTGCCGCTTTCTAAAAATAAGGTCTTTCCCGTAACATGCAAATGACCTGTTTAAACATCCATATTATTTACCAACGCGCTTGAGGACCTTTATAACATACTTAATAAGACTAGACGGGGGATCAACATAAACGACGAGTACATCTTACGCGTACATTTTGCTATTGCTAGTAGCAAAGTCGGAATAGTCGGTTGGGCAAGATGCTCCATAGACTGTATGAAGGTTCTGGGTGCATCAGCTCTTGTATGAACTTGGACAAACGTAAGGTTAAGCTCAATCACCATGTCGCAACTAGACCGGTAGATGTCGAAGGTTCGACTCTCGAAGTCGTTCAATAATTTGCCTATGACAGTTTTCCGTCCCAGTTAAAACAACTTTAAAAAAATCTTCAGAAGGATACAGTAAATTCAATTCTTGTGTAACTATGTCCAGTTTTCGAATGTCTTCCTTCAGTGTGTCCTACCTGTTATGACTTTTGATCCCTAGACGTGGACACAAGTGGGGACTAAAAGTAAATTATATATTTCAAAATTCAATAAAAAATTAAGCTTTTTCCATAATTATAGATTTTGTATTACAGTGACTGTTTTAAGGCTACGAAATAGTTGGAAATCGTTGTTTTCGTTGAATAATTAGCTAACATTATATAAATCATTTTTTTTTTCCAATCAACATTATCCAGCAAAGTTGACACGGCTCAAGTTTTGATATTTTAACAGGCCATTAGGACCTTATCGTTTTGCATATTGTAGCGCCATGTGTATTTTTGCCTTCTATGTATTTTTACTGCTTTAAAGATTTTCAGATTCAGCAGATAAATAGGGGAGGTTCACATAGATTACTCGTATAAGTACATTAAATTTTGCTTGTACTGTGCTGACAAATATACGCTATTATGTATTATCTTAATCAATTCTTGTTTTATCGTGTCCACCATTACTTTGAAACAAAAAGGGAAGTGAATAAATGTAGACGAATCCCACTGACCTTAGTCGTTTCTTGTTTATCGGTTATTTTTGATAAAGATAATTGAGTGGAGATACTCTAAGGGCCCGACGCAGAAAGCAGTTCTTCTCGAGACGGTGAGGAGGTTTCTGTCTCTGGAGTCCTGACCGCCGGAATCTTGGTCCCTGTACCCTATACCGATGGGACACTATTTTTTTACATTTTTAAATGTATTTTGTTTTTTCTTGTACATAAATATATTTAAAAATGTAATTTATATTTAATAAAATAAAGAGAATAAAAATACAAATACATATATATTTAATAAAATAAAGAGAATAAAAATAATAAAAATCTTTATTCAGCTAACTTTGTTTCCAAGTTTGTTTCCAATGTGTTCCGATACCTAATTGAATAGTCACTTTGTGCTATGCAGTCTGTGAGACTGCATAGCACAAAGTGACTAGACCGCTACAAAACTTTAGAAACATGTAACTTACCGATTTAGACTGGGGCACTAGGCCGGCTTTGGAATCCTCCACTTCAATGTAAGCGCAACTTAACTGGAAGCTGCTCAGGCACTATAAAGAAAATGTGGGGAAAAAATAAAATAACGTCTGGGTGGCGTCATACGTAGTATACATCATACTTCATTGTTTTTTTTAATTATTTTACCTAAATGTCACGTGAAATTTCTTTAGAATTAGCATTGTTTTTATAAATAAACTATAAACAAAGTGCCCCAAAAAAAATATACTATCACAAGATATAACAATAAACTATCACACATTTTTTGATGATCTTAGACTAGATTTAAAACATAACTCAACTACATTATAGTCCGATACAAAGGTAATGATATGCGAGGTACCTACAGTATAGTCGACTCGACTGTACGTCACTGTACGTAGACAGAAATAATGCGCGCATGAGCAGTGTACGGATGTAAACTCACACACTAAAAGGCATGCGTGTCGTGTGTCGCTCTGCCCCCTCGCTCCTTTACGTCCCTCTGCTGTTTATTATTGCGCAATGTTCTGAGCCGCCATTAAGTCTGCATCGGACTATACCCTTTCACAAACATTTTTCAGGAGCAAGTAAACAATCTGCCGGATGTAATGGCGCGGTGTCTGCAGCAGTGTTGGGAGCGAGCAGAGCAACGGAAGAACTTCTTGCATCCCGACACTGCTGCAGTGCCTACACCGCCATCATCGACAATTACTCCTTATACTAGGTACGTTCTAATAACATAAAAGTTTTAATGTTATTTTTATATTATAAGTCATTTTATTGTACATTTACATACATAAAATATCAACAGTAAAGTATTTATTTTATTTATTCTTTGCGTGATGTTACTGTTTCAGAACGCTAGTGACAGCAGCACATCCGTGGCCGCAGAGCCCAGTGCTGCAGCCGGCAGGACGGACGCACTCAGCACCAGAAAGTACCACAACCCACACACCTTCGCCGGCTCAGCCGCAGCCTTCAAGCCCTGCTCCCCACGCATCTCGACCTCCTCTACCCAGCTGAGTACCGCCTTCCAACTCCGAACTTCTGTGCTGAACTCGACGAAACTCGGCGCCAATCCTCTGACCCCCCCTTTACAACTACGCTCCAATGAGGTTGACGAGGAAGTTGTTTTACTACAGGAAACAGATTTTTGAAAATACAAGTTCAATGAGCGCTTTGCATGAAAAATACTAAATTCAACATAAGTTCTCAAGCCACTGAACGCAAAGTTCTCTTGTACGTTCTAGTAGCACTCATGCACGCATCAAATGTGCACTTGTTTATGTGTTTTTAAATTTATTTATCTGCCTATTTTTAGCAATTTCATTACGAAATTGTATAATTAAACAATGGTTCTAAGCAAATCTGTATTTTCATAAAAAGTTGTATTTTTGGACTGTTTTCGAAATCTTTGTCTTCTGTTGGTGAAGAATGGAATAACCAAAGTGAAACGATTTTCTCGACATGCCGATGGACCACGTCGCGGTGCGAGATAAGGTCAGCCGTAGTTTTCTTCGCTGTTCCCCAGTTTCGGATGTGCCAGACTGTTCTTTAGTGATATTGTTTAGATAGTGAAATGAAATGAGGCGGTACGGACTTGCTGTTGTGATTATACAAAATGCTTTATCGATAGACGCTTTAGCTAATTACGTTAGACGATATTTTGAATACTTATCAACTTAGGTAATTATTACCTACACGTCTTTTCACGACGTTCGAGGAACCAAACAACATTGTTTGTAAGCAAATTGTGTTTTGACTACATTTTTTTTGTAAAACCTACATAATCGGGAAGCCTCGAAACGAATTTATAAATAGTCAAATGGTTTCACAGATATTTATGTATAGCGCAGTAAATATACATAGTGACTTTTATAGTAATAGTTACACATAGATTTATATTTGTCTTACGCGGCCTGTATAGAAGTCGGTTGTATTACCACTTACTTATAAAGTACACATAGAGGTCACTATGGATTGGTTTCAGTTCCTTGAAAAAGAACCTAATTTATCATTGTATTGAATAAACGCCAAAAATAGCCAGAGTTAAATAAAATGAATCACTTTTCTGTTGAATTTTCGTTTACGTTCAGTTTTGAGTAAAGAATTCACAATTTTTTTAGTCAAACATGAACTGCATGAAAATGTTTATGATAAGACCACAATCATTATGCTCGGTGCACTTTTCACGGCCACACAATAGGTCTACTTACACTTCATAAGGAACACGAAATGACTATTTCTAAAACTTGCAAATTTGCATATTGCATGTTCTTAAGAATAATTTTATATACTAATGATTAGAATTCAAAAGTATTAAAACACTCATAAATACGTGTAAAATCAAAAGGGACAAATGATAAACACTTTCTTTTAAATATCGTCGTATCAAATAATAATGAAATAAGAGAAAAATCTGTCAACAATTGAAGAATCCACAGGAAATACAATGTGAAAAAATTTTTCAAAGACTGTATTTCTTTCATTTTATGTTCTTTTAAAACAATATTGTAACAATTCATTTCTATATAAACATATTATTTAACGTTACTTAAAAATACACTTTAGTTTTATATTTTAGCGATTATTGCAGAAACTCTGAAACTTGTGACTATGCTCTATAGCATAAACAATCTATGTCATTAACCTGGTTTTTGCATCACATTGACAATTATTATTACAAGACAATTTTGAAACTAACTGAATAATAAAAATATTACCAAACAAATATCCTACAATAAAAAAAGAAAAATATTGCACTTACGACTTTACTTCATAAATCGCTAGGTTAGGAAAAACACACAATGCAGGCACGCACGACAATGTCAAATTGACAACGACAATTTTTGACGTTCGGCGCGCAGACATTCCTATTTCTTGCCATGGATGAACAGATATAACTTGAACTATTACAGCGGACTGTAATGGTTTTACCCAATTTTGATTAATGTATAAAAATGATACACCCAAAGGCCGTTAGATGGTAATAAAAAGTCAGTTTCACAAAAAAAGTGTCATTCATTATTTTGCCCGATGAGTTTTTAATTATATAATATAATTAGGACTCATCGAGGTCGTTTTCATTCTACATATGGCATCATAAACATTTATTTAAGATTACGATATATATTTAATAAATATGAATACCACTCGAGACAGTTTTGTTTTAATTAAAAATATTAAATATTGAAATAACATTTGAATATTTTACCACACACAAACAAAACTTTTGAGAAGAAGTCACTATTTGAATTAGATGTTTTTGAAATGGTCATTGGAAACAATGTGGAAATAAAAATGTTTTTTGATTAACATTTAAAGCTTCTCAGAATACAGTAATGAAATATAATTGTGGTCAGATCATTGTCTTAACACAGATTTTAGTTTTAATTATTAAACGCAATTTCATAGTATAGCATTCTAAGTTGAACCTGTATACACACTTATAGATATAATATATAATAAAAATATAATTAGTTAAATTGAATTGTTACTACCTGCCTATTGACATGTAGATTGTAAACATTTTTTTAAGAATTAGATTAAGTAAAGCTTTTTATAAGACATAAGATTGATGGCTGTCTAAATAGTGCCTAAAACACTACGAAATTTCGATAATTCAGTTTTATTATTCTTATAACTTATGAATGTAAATAGGTAAACTAAAGTTTGAGAGCATAATATTTAGTAAAAATCTGAGCTGTAGTTGTACGGTACGTGTGATGGGATCAATTTGTTTGTATTTTAAGTTTAAAAATCCTTTTGAATTTCATGGACAAAGTTATATTAGTTTTGATGAATGAAAATACCTGAGAGAGCATCTTATTGTAATAAATAAATCGGTAACAACAGATGTCAGTAAACTTTGCTCAAATACCATCTACGCTTATAAGTTCACATTTAAATTGGACTTAATTTCAATGATTAATATGTTTTTTTGCAGCCCACATTGATAAATAAATGAAATAGATAGACTAGACCAATATTGTAATAAAATAGCGAAGAAGATAGATCAAAACGAAATAGACTTATTGTTAAGAGAGATTTTCACCGAAATAGCACCATACGAAACAGTAGTCCGTAAAAAAATATTGTTAAGTATTTATTTCCGTTTTTTTGCTCTAATGTTGATTCACTAGTACTGACGTTTTATGTATTTTAATCGCTCGATTAAAGGAAAAATGTATTATCTACTGTCAATGTTTAGGGTTTATAATTCTGTAAGTCTATCAGTTCTGAAAATGTATTACTGTTAAAATTGTTGGTTAACCAATTAAATAAATTACAAATAACTCAAAAAAATTTGATCAAGAAAATCATGTGTTCAGTAAAAAAACATTGTTTTCAGTAAAAAAAACACTGAATTTGACAGCTAAGGTATGTGAAATTTGTTGTTTTTTCTTAAATTATGAGTTGTAATGTATCGTATTTTTTATCAGTCAAGATCTGTAGTGAGTCAGTGTAAGAGCAATTAGCGAATCAATTTGTTTACTTTATATATAGTTACTGTATTTAGGTAGGATAATAAAATAATCCTATAGCTTAATCGTTCGTAATACTATACAAAACACCAACTAGTATATTTAGATATACAACAGACTTAATGTAGATATTTAATATTTCCTGCATTATATTTATTAAAAATATCTTACCCATCTTATTAAAACTTTTCCTAAATTTTTTCATAAACAGTGTTTTAAGGTCCTATGGATATTCCCTAGTGTTTGTAACTACCTCTCCATTTTACAGTAACTGCCACTTAACCATATTGTTTGGTTCTTAATTAATTATTGTTATTATTTAACCTTCCAGTTATTCTTTTCCTAAAACCTATATTTTAAACCTTCCCATATTACTTTGTTGTTTTCAAAATAAAAGGCGCACAATACATATAACATAAAGTGGCATTTTAGTAAAACTAGGGTATTTAAATTTATCGGTCTTTACTTAACCGTAGCCTAATGAATTGTCCCCATTATGAAGAATTTTAAAAAGTCTAGTCACTAAGGTTAATTGCTTGATAGTCTTTACTTAGAACAGTAGACCACGAAAGTGTTTATATTTTATCATTCTAACTCTTTTTCCTACTGATTAAAATAATTTAGATCCCTTTATGATATTCGAAACTTGACTAATAACTGTCAAACACTTTTGCGAGTGAGTCCCAAGTTTAGCTAAATCCAAAGTGTAAAACGACTTATTTATAAAATAAGAAATTGACCAAAATGTTGTTTAAGAAACGTAGAATGTGTAAATAGTAAGTAAAAAATCATTAAGACATTGTGTAAAAAAACAATTATGTAAATACCAGTTGTATTTGCGAATTTTAATGTACATAAAATAAAATAAAATATATGGTTCCAGTAAAATTATTTTAAATAATTACGTTCAAATGTATAAGAAAATTTTAAGTTGTATGCCAATGGATTGTTCTATGCGGTGCGTAACAAAAGAAATTAAACTTTTGTGATCATTGTTAATGAAATGAAAGTGTAACTTCGATTATATGAGCTGTAGTATTTTTTAAACTTGTATTTCATTTTCATCCTTAAAAAAAAAACTAAAAAAACACCTACTGAAAGCTGTAAAGTACCGTATACTAATCAATTAATTTATCCTAATATAGTCCTATAATTTTTTACTAAAGGACGTATCTTGATTTATAAAACATTCACATTAAAAGCTTCAAAAGTAAATAATATATGAGGTTATTCACTGCAAATTAACAACTTGTATGTTTTTAGAACCAGATTTTGCTTAGGACTTCAATTCAAATCATAGTTTAGTAAAATTGATAAAATACGCTTTAAAAGAAAAAGGAGATATATTATTCACTGACTATAACAAAGGGTCGTCGTTATTTAGCCTAGTTTGTGAGACTATAATATGGCTTAAACTCGATTACGGGGGTATACTAAAGGACATAAGCACCCCACAAATTGTCCGGTACCGGAGGAAAAAAAGGGGATTTACTAAACAGTTTTACTATTCACAAGAATCAGATTTGCTTCAATATGCCA